AATATTCTATTTGGTGAAAGATAAACTTTATTGTATTTATCCCAGTGGATCTATAATTAAACGGGTAAACTAGTAGTAGCACGTCCAACGTCAAGGAAAACAAAAAGCTACTATCAGGAGAGGGAGAACGTTTAAGTGGTTAGCAGCAGTGTGCTAGTCGATGGCCCCCTCCATGAGGCCACCACAGCTCAGCAGAACATCGTTGTAGCTTCTTCTGGGGAGAAAAACACTTAGAGAGAAAATAAAGTTAACAGCTGAAATAGCAGGAAATAATACAGTTAAAGAGCAGATTGTAGAAGAAAGCAGTACAGTGTGAAAAGTGGTCAGTGTGTCCTCCAGCAGTCTAAGCCTATAGCAGCATAACTACAGAGATAACTCTGGATAACCTCGCCTTTTTAGATGGAGGCATGTTGGAGGCAGGGCAAGGGAGAGCCGTCTTTACCGACTGTACACTCCACCTCCCTCTACTCCCCCACTTGTCCAGATCATCTGAGTAAACAAAGATTAAATAGCAACAGTTGCTGGGCCCCCACCCCTGTGTTACTGGTTGATTTATTGGGCCCAACATACATGCTGAGTTGTGCGTCAGTACGATTCTGTGCTTTCATTTATGGTCCTAAAATCTGCACGTGCGCGGCAGCAGAAGAGTTAGTGAGGAATAGCATTGAGAACGGCGGTAAGATGTAGCATCCTTGTGTCGGTGAACCTGAGCGAAGATGGCCACGCCCATTACAGCAGACTGAAATCTCCACTGGAGCGTGCACAGGAGGAATGCTTCTGATTCGGCCTGAACTGTGATGGATATGTGCACGTGCAAAACGCCCCAGTAACTGGAGCAAAGCATCAGTTTTACACCCAAAATTCTTCAGCTTTAAGAAGCCTGCACGAGTCACGAGCATCTGATGTAGAAACATACAAAAGAATTAGGAATAAACAGCAAAGGCCACTTTCTGACTGGGACAGTCCCGGCGCTCTGAACGTGTCATGATTAATGCATCAGCCTCCGAGAAAAGGTCTGAAGGAGGTGCAGCATGCTCTTGTCTTCTCTGCACTACTCCTTCTGACTCCTGCAGGAGAGTGGATGCCAGCACGACTCTCCTGTTACAGGAACTGTCATATTCATCTGGTCCTGCTGTTCCTTCTGTGTGAGCTGAACTCAAATTATGCACACACACACATAAAAACACCCACACACACGCAGGAGTCGCCTCGGAGCTTTTGTTTAGGAGCTTTGACTCAGACGATAAGAGAGGTCTCTGTGCCTTTAAACGCAGAAAACGTTTGCAGTTGGAAAATCACAATAAAAATAACAACACTCGCAGATTTTAAAGCATTATTTACTTTGTGGTTTGAAGATAATTTAATTCTGTCAGAAGTTTGTGAATTTTAAATAACTTATTCTCTTTTGACTTAAAAAAAAAGATAATTATATTCTATTTTTAAGCTAATTTAAAGGAATATTCTGTGTATTTTGTAGCACTTTTAGGTCCTAAACTAAACAAGAAACATCTGAGCTGCTTTTGAATGGCAGCATCCTGCTTCGGTTGAATAAAGAAAGGTCAAGTTCCAAGTGCGGCTGCCTTAAAACAGCTTCAGTGTATTTTTATAATACTTAAATAGGAAAATGCATGGAGCTCTGAGGTTATTTAGTTATTTCAACTTCACCAGCAGCAGCATGTAGCTCTCCTCTGCAGCCACGGCTCAGATCCAGCAGGGAGAATTTTACATTTCTGTGGAAAATAGAAACAGTCATGTAAGTAGTGGCGTTGTAGTGGTTTTCTAATGTTACAGGATGTGTAACACTAGAGCCTGATCTGTTTTAAAGCAACACCAAATAGTTTTTAACACCTTAGCTGTTGCTTCCAAACTGGTTTCAGTGATTTTTCAGCCATAAACCCGGACAGCCCTCTGCTGGCCACAAACTGCACTTCACAGTTTTGTGGTTAGGCTAGAAACTCCAGTGGGAGGTACTGTATCTATGTTTAGTGCCTGTTTACAGTGACAGTAACTAATGAAACAAAATGCTAGCAGTTAGCTTTTTGACTTTGCCAACTGTCAAGAAAAAGAAGAAGAAAAAGAAGCCTTCGTGTAATAGAGTAATGTCTTTGGAGGTGAAGCAAAGAGCTAAAACCAGAGTAAACATTGGCGCAGCCTATGCTAGCTTGAGGGAGCTAAAGGAGGCTACAAAATCACAGACTGATGGTGACCTGGCTTTGTTGCTACTGGAGTAAAATTAAATAAACTGTAAAATGTTATTTGTTGTCCAACAGTGTGGATCTTTTCACTTCGTGGTTTGTGCTAGTATTAGGCTGCATTCACACTGCAGGCAAAAGTGTATTAAATCCACTTTTTTTCCCCACATGTGGTGAATATCAGATTTTTTTAGGACAGTCTGAACGCACAGATTCAAATTTTTTAAATGCGATCCGCGTCACTTGAATATGTAGTACTTATTCTGACACATAGCTGATGTTTTTGAACGCGACTGCAGTCTGAAAGGTCATGTTGCAGTCTCCTACGTCACTGAGTCTGCAGAGGTGAGCGTAGTGAGTGGATGTTCCTGAGGAGAAGCGCTAACGGGAGGGTTCAGGAGTCTGTCTGGACTTCCTGTTTTAGGTTATGAGGTTAAAAATATAAGAAAGAATGTGAACGGGAGCTGGAGGTGCTCTCCGTGAGAGGGAGATCCTCCGTGAATGGATTTATACCGGAACATTTTTGGTAAATACTAAATTAGGGAGACGGTGGGAACAAGGAGTAAAATAGTTTACAGGTTTTAAAAACAGTTTCCAGCCCAAAACGGAAGACTTAACAGGTGGGAAAGTTTTCACCAACAGTTTATCCACAGGATCAGGATTACATCACAACTCCGCCGCTCCTGGTTTTGGCTCCACTGAGTGTGACTTCTTGTCTTCTGAGCATGCGGGTCACTTTGGTGCCGCGGAGCGTTCACACTGGAGAGTTTGATGTGGCATTTCAGTCATAGTGTGAACAGCCACACAAAAAAATCTGATTTACTCAAAAAATCGGAATTGAGCATCAAGGCCGGCAGTGTGAATGTAGCCTTAGTTGGCTCATGTTAGCGTTAGCTTGTTGTTAGCGATAGTTCCAACCAGGCCCCCATAATTCGGGTCTGGAAATGAAGCAAAACAGGAAGTGACACAAATTGCAGTTCCACCCTCATCCACTAGGGGCTGGTGTCAGAAGCGAGCAAATCCTCATTGACTCCCATGTTAAAAATACCAATTTCACAGCAGAAATAAACATGTTTACAGCCTGGTACCAAAACATGTTTTTGGTTTAAATGATCTAGTTTACACTCATGACAACTCTGAGGGGGGTGGATTTTTTTCTCACTCTTCTGTTTAAGTGTATTAAAAGCCCAAAATTCTGTATAATTAATGAGCATCAGACCCACGTGACCACAGAGCTAGCTCTGAGGAAAGGCCTCAGTAGAGCCTCGGTCTGGCCTGGAAACTGTTCCGGGATTTTGAGTCTCTGTGTTTGTGTATTCTGTTTTGGATATTATTTGTGCAATTGTTGGACAAAATGACTTGCTGTGGCATTAATTGCACTAATAGAGCGTCCAAGGAGTCTCCACTTCATTTTTTTCGGTAAGTAAAATTATATTTATGTATTTTAGGTCACTGCCGAGCTGAGCTTAGATTTTAACATGTACTGTTTAACCATGAAATTTAAATGTAATAGGGTAAAACCCAGTGCATTTAACATAATGCTGCACTTTAGAAAATGGGTTGAAATATAACATGTTGGTGGAGCTGGGTTCCGACTATTGGTATGGTCCCCTCCCCTCAGTGACAGCTGGGTGCTTCTCTGATCGCGGCGCCTGTCTGCTGTGCGGCTGCCGGCTTGTGGAGCTCTCTGAGACCTCTGTGTTCCACCCGGTTTTACCCAGCGGTCAGCCCGGCGCACCTCTGACTCAAAAGCTCTGGTGTTGTGCACAGTTAACTCTGGTTGTAGCTAGGTAGCTTCTTCCATTAGCTTAGCTCCCACCTCCGCGTTAGCTTTCTGTTAGCTTGTAGCTACATCGCTTCAGTTCGACGGGTGTCGTCATTTGATCCCAGCCTTACAGTCCCACCCTCAGCTCCACCTCTTTTCCCTTTTTTGGAATTGTCTGGGCTTGATGGAACCTGTGGCACGGTCAAAATAGCGGTGGTGGCCACCTCCCATTTTGGCACAAAAACTTATAATTGGAGCTTATGGACACGAATTGTCTAGTAAATATGTCGATGACTACAAATGGCTGCTGCAGGGTTGTTTACGACAGTTGTAATTCCGCTTCCAACCAGTAGGGCAGAGAAGCGGGTACTTTTTAAAGTGTTGCATGTGGAGCATGAGTGCATTCACACAAGCAACTAGCTCGTCAGTCCTGATGAAACTAAATCCTTATTTCTCTAAACAGAGGTTGTTCAAAAATTATTTACAAAGAGTAAAATGGTATTAAACAGAATCCACTTAAACCTGCAAAATGCAAACTTTTCCACAAATAATCACGGACGTTAATGTAAAATACAAAAAAAAAGAGAGTAATTTATTCGCATATTTCTGTTTTTGTTTTATTTTATTAGACCAACCTTGATGCTCTGATGTTTTCACTTAATCTTTAAATTTAATTGACACATATTTATCTGAAGGGTTAATTATTTTATTCACTCCTGCAGATAACAATAGGAAGATTTTCTGATATCAGGGAATAAAATCCCGATTTTTTAGAGACAAAGTCACCAACGAAAAATAAGTGATGTTTGAATGTAAAAAACAAACAACCTCTCCTCCTACTGACTTAGTTTCATATCAAAACCCTCTGACCTTTCCAATAAACCTGGAGGAGTCTATTCGCGCGCTCCGTGCGCGCGCATGGAGCTTCAGCTGCGGCTTCAGGAGCTCCGTCAGGGGACCGCAAACCCAAGCTGCTGATGAAAGAAAAACACTCCGGACGAAGTCTCTGTCTGTTGCTTTGTGAGGATTTTGGATCATAACAA